AGCAATTCTAAAAATAAATGCTTGCAGTTCACACCCAAAGAACCAGCAAGAAATTTACACTGTCATATAAAGATGTGTTTAATTCCTGAAATCATTTTCTATTGTATTACGTTATTTTTTCGTTAGAAACAAAGAAAAGAGTATTGCGTTGTTATGTCATATCAGTCCTGAATTCAGTAAATAAATACAATGATAGTAAATGAAGTAAGACAAGGATATGTCTTCTCACCAGATTTATTTAACCTATAGAGTGAGGGGATTCTAAGAGAATTAGGTGTCCTACCAGGATTCATCATTTGCGGTAACAGTCTTAACAGCATTCGATATACATATGATACAGTGTTGATAGCAGACAGAGAAAATAAACTACTAAAAAGGACTAAGCATCAAATGCAAGAATACAAAATGTTGTTAGCAAAAGGAAGAGACCAACATGCAAATTACAAATTGGAGATACCAAAATCAAACAACTACAAAATTTTAAATATGCGACACTGAAATCCACAGATGCATTGAGATAGCGAAAGATGCCTTCAAAAAGCTAAGAAAATTATTAAGAAACATTTCATTAGAAACAATGTACTGAAATTTTAGCATTGTAGAACGTTATTTTTAGTTAAAAACAAAGCAAAGAGTATTGCTGAATTTTATGTCATATCAGTCTTCCTATATGACAGTGCATGTTGGACAGTCTCTTCATATGAGGTTTGACAGAAGGATGCTGAGACTACCATGGATCGAAGATGTGAGCAACGACGGAGCTTCAGACAAAACAGAGACAAGGGAAACTAAAACTTCACATCATGAAGGGGCTGTTGAAATGCATAGAGCACACAACGAGAAAAGAGGGCTTGGAAAATTTGATACTCACAGGACATAATGAAATATCCCAGAGGAAAGCAACGCATAACCTGCCTTGGGAGTTTTATTAAATGGATAACGGAAAAAGGTTTAGGAGATATAACATAAAGACTAAATTTATTAAGAGCTACAAAGGACAGGAAATTGTGGAGAGCCGTGATCAACAACATCCAGAAGCAAATTATTAAGAAACAGAAACATTTCCTTAGAAACAAAACGAGAACATTTATAAGGAGGTCAAAAGGACAGGAAATTGTGGAGAGCCGTGATCAACAACATCCTGAAGGTAATTATTGAGAAAAAGAAATAATTCTTTAGAAACAAAGTAAAGATTACTGAACTGTTATATGGCAGTCAATAACAGGACAAATACATTTACAGATAAAGAGACTTGAAGCCAAAGAAACAAGGAAAAGTGTGTCAAACTAATATGTAATATCAGTACTCTTATGTGGCAGTGAATGTTGGTAATTTCTTCTCAGATGAAGAAGAGACTTGAGGCAAGAGACATGTGGTTCGGTAGAATAAGGTCAAGAGTAAAATGGACCGAGCAGGTGATCAACGACGGAGATTTAGAGAAAAAGGAAACAAAATCGACACTTAACATCAGAAAGAGACGGTTGGATTTTCTTAGAGAAGCTAGGAAAATCTGATACTCACAAGGCAGATTGAAGACAACAGGAACAGAGAAAAACAACGCATAGCCTACCTGACGAGCTTAAGCAAATGGATTGCTGAACAAATTTTAGGAGAGATAAAAAAAAGAGAAAATATATTAATAGCTAAAAAGGACTGGCAATTATGGATTGTCGTGATCTCCAACGTCTTGAAGGGATACAGCATATAGAAGAAGAATTGGCATACTCAAATTATTAAGTTTGTCTGGCACAAGGTCATACTGAGCAATGCGATGGAATCCATTAACAAACGAAGCTCCTAACCAAAATCGACAAGACACTGCTATCAGTGGTAGGTCTTCAATATATACTGAAAGAAGATTTTTTCTGGTAAATGGTAATAATTACAGGATGCCATGGATAAATTGTTGTGTAAATTACGCAAAAATGAAAATAATACTGACATCTCATTTTAAGAGATATATTTACCAAAATTACACAAAAATATCTTGAAATAAGAACGAGTAAATTTATAAAAAACATCGCCATTGGCTTCAACCACAGCCTCCAGACGACTTCGGAATCTCCTGCATCTCTTCTTGACGGTCTCATTTTTTACGTTGGTGAATGCTGCCATAATCCTTGCCTTCAGTTAATCTGTGGCATTACAAGGAGTTTTGTTGGTCTCTCGCTCAAATGCGCCCCACAAATAACAATCAAAGGGGTTGCAGTTTGAAGAGTTAGGTGGCCAGATGTAAAAGGTGATGTTGTCGCAGAAATTGTCTGGTAGTCATGACTCTGTTCTCCGACTTCTGTTGCATGAAGCAGGGTCCTGTTGCCAGGCATAGATTCTTCCAGCAGCCACTCACTTGATTCGGGACAGGACTACCTCCTCAAGGCACTTGATGTAGGCCTCCCTGTTGACTTTGAGGCCTTGTAAGAAGATGCATGCAGGCATAAGCTCGCCATCATTAGGGATCACAAACACCATAATAGGATATATCATCCAACTTTTTCCGAATCCTCAGATTGACACCTAAACACTACAAAATGTTCGTATTAGAGCTTCCGACGCGAATGCCAAGCAGTATATCATGTCATTTTCAAATATCTGGCGGAGTGAATTGAGTCATGATGCTCGTTTTCTCACTGACGGTGCCCAACGGACCCGACTATACTGTGCAGTCGACAAAATCAAAATCAAACATCGTGACCGCGCCAAATTAAAAATATAAAATGGCGACAATTTACTCATCGCACGCTGTATGATGCACCCTCATTTCATTGTTTTTGAGATTAACTCGTTAACCAATTATCTACTAAGAAGCATCCATAACAATAACCCTATTGAATTTGTTCAGAAGCGGCCATGTCCTCTGATATTAACGATGAATTTATGTATACGGGTTTCGAAGATAACTTTCCTAATGATTTTGTTTAGAAAATATTAAAGGCTATATCACCATTAAAGAGTTTAATGCAGGGGTTTTCAAACTTTTTGAGTTGCGGACCCCTTTATATTTCAGGCTTTACCTTAGTGACCCCCTTATAAACGATTATGAAATGTATGCTTAAATTTTTGCTGAATATAACATATAGTTTTGCATTAATGCAATAAAAGCTGGTTTAAAGCTTACTTTAGACATAAGTGTTCAAATAAATTAATGCTGCATGTTGCTGCAAAATGTAACAAAATTAAATTTTGTTATATTAAAATTTTAATTTTACATGTAAATGAAAACAGTAATAGTATTTAACAAATAGTTTTATTGTCAATTGCACACACAGGAATCGCAAAATAGATCCAAAATTCAAATCCTTTGGTTCCTTCTCTGCATGAATAGAATCCATTATCTTTATCAATTTAAGATACAAATTATATTACTATATCAAAGCTATGAAATAGTTTATTGAATCAATTTATTTCATGATCGGCCTATAAGCTACTTATAAGCGCTTATATGTTGCACGTCACCCATAAAAAAGTCTTTGCCGTCCACGGACCCCCTATCTTGTCCTTGCGGGCCCCCTGTGGTCCGCGGACCACAGTTTGAAAACCCCTTGTTTAGTGGACAAAGTTTTGAACATCAGAAAAAATCATTTCAGTGCGCCAGTGTTTTTTTTAGCGAGGAAATATAATTAGCGCAATATTTACTTCGATATTTTCATTTAAAACATTTAGTATAATGTATTAATTGATTTACAGGATTAGGATCCTATTCATGAGTGTAAAGATATGCATAGTTTTTATCATCTTGTAAAACCACATTTCTATCGCCTCGGGTTTTTTCATTATTTGTGAGGAGATAAGTTCCAATTGACGACTGGGGTGAGCTTGAGTGCCAATAGACGTTCAAGACAAGGAGGGACCACCCATCTGTCACGATACCAAGTTCAGGGTCTGCTCAGTGATGGTGAAAGGTTACTTATTTGGTTTTGGGCGTATTGAATTTTACAAGCCAATCCTTACCTCAGGGCTAGGTCAGAGGAAAGATCAGCAGCCAGGTTCTTGTCATCTAGAGCAGCGTCTTTGAAAACTCTTTTTACTGCGACCAACAACAAGAACCACCTTTTGCATTGAGACTCATTCTACCTATGTTCAATGAATCAAAGTCAAACTCTGTTCAATAGGTTCATTTATTTACCATCGACAATTTATATACGGTGGTTAATAAGTTAATGTTTTATTAAATCTGTTAGCGAAGTGATTTCGCCATTAATTATATTTATTTTACTGATTAATTCTTTGTATGAATACTTCTTTATATATATATATATAATAAAAACGTAATACGAGCTTACTCGGTGAGAAACTAGAGATAATTTATGAGTACTGTGCAACATTTAGCGTTGTTTATATTCTGCACTTGCTCTCACTTGCATATTTTTCTTTCTTTTTTATCGTGATCCATTTATTCATTTCTCGACCCACTGAAGGGTCAGGACCCATAGTTTGAAAAACCCTGATCTAGAGTGTTGGAAGTGCACCTGTGGTATTATCCGCACAGTTATTCCCTATGTATCGGAGTATTTTCTTAAGCAGATCATTGATATATAGCAGAAAGACAATAGCGCGGGAAAAGAACGCTGATGAATATTGGCATTGATCTTATAAGATTCCGCTCGCTATCCGTTAACAATGACCTTCGTGTAACTACCTGTTCTCAAGGATTTGATAATTGAGAAAACCCTTCCAAGTATTTCATAGCTGGAGCGTTTATATAGCAACCCTCCAGTGTCACACTTTGTCAATGACCTTGATATGTTATAGGAATAAATAGGCTCGCCTATCGTCCGGTGCACACTCCTCACAGGTCTTTCAAAAAGGAGTAGAGGGGTATCCATTGTTTCCTGTTTTGGATTGGGTTTCCGGTTTCGTCTAAAGTTTATACACTTAACGCTTGTCCCTTCTTACGCTAATACAAGTTCACACAGTAACAAACTACCTTAAGTGGCTCTTGAGCCTTATATTGTGTGAACATTAGTATAAAGAAAAATCCGTGGCGGTGGCGAAAGGCATATAGCGTTGAAACACCAGTTCCTGTAAAATCACCGAAGTTAAGCAACATCAAGCCTGGTCAGTACTTAAATGGGTGAACGCTTGTGAATTCCAGTTGCTGTAAGCTTGGATGTGCTGGTGTTGTAATGGTTAATGACTCGGAATTGTTAATCTCAGAGACGAGTTCCAATTCCTGTTGGGTTGGTTATATCCACTTACACGCAAATAACGATGGAAAAGATGTGAGTCTACCTTTTCTTCCCTCAGTTGTGGGTTAATTAGTAAGACTTGCATCAATTAAATATTATTATCTCCCCTTCCAATTTAAAATAATTTCCGACTTTAAATAGCCAGCAAATGGTTGATAAGCCGCAGAAAACGAATCAACCAACAACAAACTCATTCACTGAGTAATGACAGTTAAAAAGACATCAGTTTTGAATCTACATTTCGATAAAAAGCAAAATCAGTGGATAAATCAGGAAGAAGGAAATGTGACTTGTAAGTAAAATATGTAGAAAAAATCAGTTTTGATCTCTATAATTTTCCAAATAAGAATTTAAAACATTTGTTTAATAAAAAAGAATAGAGTTAGACACAAAGTAAAAGCTGGTGACATTTTTCCATTTCAAAGCATCAGTTCAGTTAAAACTTTATAAGAATCTGGTTAAAACGCAATTTCGCGTACATCTCGATAAAAAACAAAAACAAAAAAAAAACAAAAAAAAAACAGTTTTACTTATGTTTTTTGTTTTGTTTTACGGTATAGCAACCTTAAGAAGTTATTTAATACCGACAAGATTTTATTGCTGCTAATATTTTTTCCAAATTGTATTGCTGCTAAATTTTTTTTCCTTTAGAAATGTATTGCTGGTAACATTTTTTTCCTTCAAAAAACGTATTGCTGATAAATTTTTTTTCCTTAAAAAAGGGATTGCTTGTAATATTTTTTTCCTTAAAAAATGTACTGCTGGTAACATTTTTGAAGGAAAAGATGTATTGCTGGTAACATTTTTTTCCCAAAAATCTATTGCTGGTAACATTTTTTTATTTAAAAAATGTACTGCTGGCAATATTTTTTTTTCAAAAATATATTGCCGGTAACATTTTTTCCTTTAAAAATGTATTGCTGGTAACTTTTTTTTTCTTCAAAAAAATATTGCCAGCAGTACATTTTTTAAATAAAAAAATGTTACCAGTAACAAAAATGTATTGCTGGTAACATTTTTTTAATTAAAAAATGTACTGCTGGAAATATGTTTTTTCAAAAATATATTGCTAGTAACATTTTTTCCTTTAAAAAGGTATTGCTGGTAACATTTTTTCCTTTACAAATGTATTGCTGGTAACATTTTTTTCCTTTACAAATGTATTGCTGTTAACATTTTTTTCTTCAAAGATGTATTGCTGGTAACATTTTTTCCTTCAAAAATATATGGTAGGTAACATTTTTTTCTTTCAAAAATGTATTGCTGGTAACAATTTTTTTTTCTTCAAAAATTCATTGCTGCTATTAAAACCTATTTTTACATTTTCATAGTGTTTTGAGCCCGGTTTAGGGGTTAACTATTTACCTATAGCTGAGATCCTAAGAGGTGCTACCTCCCAGAATCAGAGTGGACCTGGGAACACCAGCAATTAAGAGGTGGTGCCACGCTCCTGAAAACCTCCTGAACAGAGGCCTTGCTGTTGGATGTAGTTTATCGTCTTACCCAGAACGTGGATGCAGTTTATCGTCATACGTAGGACGGTTTACTTATTTACTTATAACATACCTCGGAGTATATTAGTTGCACACCGTAATTTGTAAATTCATTTTGACCTTACAGTATTTCAGTATATATTTTGCTATAATTATATCCATTAAGTCTTATGTGTACTCATTCACATCTTCAGACAGTTCTTTTAGAAAGCCCTGCATATCTTGGTCAAGATAATCTGACGGAACCCAACCCTCTGAAGGTTGGTTTGATTTTGAGTTTCTTTCTCCTACACTAGTTTAATGATCCAACACCTCCTATTTAACCCATATTCGGAGGGAGTAGATTTGGATTTTTACCTTTCCTAACGTTGGTAACCATATTATTAAGAAACATGTAAACTTTTACAGTATCTGTTAAGTTTGCAAGTTCGAATATAAAATCCTAATCTTTAATCGACAATGTATTTTCTCTGGTTTTTCCTAATCTTTAAGTGACAATGTATTTTCTTTGGTTTGTCTAACACTTCCAAACCATTTTCCACGCTATTCATTTTCTCTGTCTGAACTTCATATGTGAGTCGATGTTACTACGTTGACAAATTGCTAAAGTCAGCATTAATTTTATTTGTCCGTTTGACTAAAAGGTTGTTTGGTGGTTTGTCTTGTTTCTTTTCGATTTGATTGAGCAGAAACATTTCTTCACGTAATTGGACATATTTTTCGCATTTTAACGATTCAGGACAAGAATGGGTAAAGCTGTCAAACAGATTCTATCTCTCTTTCTGGCCTTCTTTAACATTACAAGGTAGATGCATCGTTTCTAACACATTTATTGATTTAGATAAAAGGGAAGACATTAAATTTGTCACACCCCAAATTTAACAGGGGTCATTTGGAAAACTTAAAAATGGTCTAAATAGAAATTATTAATATATCCTCATCGTTATATAACCTTTCCAAAATCTTATTTCGCGTGTCTTTGCTGTAGTCTAAAATGATTTTTAAATTGTCTATGATTTTTACTTGTAAATATTTTATCAAAATATATGCTGCTTTTTAATATTTTCGACAAAATTCTTTTTTTGCCTTATTTACAGTGTGCCGAAAATTTATATTGGGAATGGTATTTAATAGCAAGAAATAAAGTTGAAATGTTTGTAGTTATTTGGTTTTCAAATGAAAACAAGTTTGGGAGTATACTTGGTGTGTCTGTGTGGAATAACTAAGCTCATGATTTCATTTATCTGACCTCTCCATCAATGAATGATGCGATACAAGTCTTTTCTTTTTGGTGTGGAATGCCCATACACGTTCATAAGGGCCAAAGACAATATATTACACCCGTCTCACCCCTCTTAATGCAGTGAATAAGGTGCTGCCTCAGAATTGAATTCTTCAGGAAGAGCCATCACCCATCGAAAATGAGGGGAACAAATATTAAATCCTGGATGATGCTGTATTTTGAAAAAAGGGTACTTTCCTACTAGTACACCCCAGTTCATTACTATAAGGTGCTCCAGGTCAGGAGTAAGAATGGTAGTTTCGACCCAGGCAGTTCACTGCTTGACTTGCAGTTGACATGACCTCTGTTTTCGGACAGAGGATACTCAGTCGAGTTCTGTCTGCGGATACGGTTTTGGCTGAGTAGAACAGACAAAGTGTCGATTCCCCACGGTTGCAGGGAATGGGTAAATATTGGACCATCAGTCCGTGTGTACGTGCTCGGGTTTCTCACTTTAAACCTGATCTCGTATCGCATCACGTCTCAGTGGGGATGCTAGCTGTTTGGTGTCAGTCTTCAGACTAATTAATACAGGCGTCACGGCAACTAGCTGAAGAATTGCGTATAGAGAATCCTTATACGAAGTAAGAGTGTGTTTGCCATAGAATAGTGACGTTATATTAGTTTATTGAGATTTATTGTAAATTAATACAATTATGGCAAAAGGCCGAAAAGTGGGGGTGGATTAAGGCTGGTCTTCACTAACTATTTTATACTTAGCTAATCGGATTCACGACGCATTCAATCGTTACAATTTCCTCATTCACCATAAAAACTCATCCGTCGTCAATCAATCCTCCATACACCATAATGCCACATCCTCTCGGGGTGGGGAGCTATAAAACGCATCCCAATGAGATGATAAATATTATTTATATTATATATATAAAAATCAGATGAATGATCATGAAAGGGGTGGGGTGAACCCCAAAACAAAGTAAATATCAAAACAAAGCAAAAATAAACTTATATTATGTTATATTGGTTTATTTAGGCGTTCATTTTTACGTACTGACATTCTACTGCTGTTTATTTTCTCAAAGAGCAATCCAAATGCAAATATATATATACATATATAGATTATGCAAATCGTTTGATAAACTACACCACAAAGAATTGTTTGAACGGTTTGATAAGCTGTTTATTTGGGAATGCTATGAGAATAATCCAGAATATATATATACTGGAGGAGGACGAGGAGGAGGTTTTCTCTTCCTCTTCCTCTATTGTCGAACTCTACTTCCGGGCGGAGAGAAACCCATACGACGCTAAGCCGAAGGACAGTCTCGTTTGGAGAGGTAGACAAATCCGACCCGGTGTATACGGGCAGTTTTTGCTCGAGCCAACGGGTTCGGAACGCCACACTTTAAAATCTGGCCTTGTGCCACATCTTGCCTTGTGTGGAGGTTAGTAAATAGAGAGAACTTATACTGGGAGCAGGCTCATGCATATACACAGGAAATGAATTCAGTAAATACAACCAAAGAAAAGAAAAATGGCTGTAAGACAAGGATTTGTCTTCTCACAGACTTTAATCTTTAGAGTGAAACAAACTTGCGATATTAAGAATTCATACAAGGATTCATTATTGGCAGCCTCACTCTTAAAATAAGCTATGAAGACGACACTATTCATAGCAGACACAGAAATGGAACTAAAAGAAATCCTGTAGAAGACAGTGAAGGAAAGCGAGAAGAATGGACTAGACGTCAATTGACGTAATAAGAAAATTGTCCGAAAATAATTGTTCTAAAAAAAAAAAAATTATCTTAAAACCATTTATTCGAATATTAAATTGTTTGAATGAAAATTAATCGAAAGTACAATGATACGAAGTGATATACCAATGGTTGAAATATGAATGATTGAAGGATGGCAGAGGACTTTTTTTGCAGTAAGTGCCATCCCATCATTCCACAACAATGAAATTCTTAGACGTTGTTAAAAGAGAACAGGACTTGCATGAAATTTATATTGCAAAAGTAAGAGCAGGTTGCCAAAATATCAAAAGCGCCAAGAAATACCGTGACGTAAATAGAAAACTTAAAAAATTAATAGCAGCTTTTAACGAATACTCTTCAGTAGTTGACTATTTGAGTGCAGTATCATATAAGTTAAGGTTATAAGTATTTTTTCTTACT